AGGTGCTATAAATAATGTTCAGGTGTTCATTTGTAGCAGAGACGTATATGCTGCTTGTGTAAAAACATGATTATTCCACCTCAAAAATTTTTTAAATTACTTTGCAAAAACCAAAATGTTTTACGTTGTACCCCAAGCTTCCATACTCTCTTAAAAATTCTTACAATTACATCTACCCTTTATTCTTCATTGACAAATCCAGAACCTATTAATATGTAAATATATTTCAATTCCACAATTTATCTACTGGATATAAATTGACTCCTATGGAAAGATTTATTTTTAGTGTCTGTGCACTGGAAGATTTAGTCCCCCACGTTTGTGTAAGTTTTTAGTTGGACCACAATCCACTTAACTTGTCACAGTGTGGGTCAAACTTACCAGAATAGTAACAATAAGCAAATAAGCTTCAGGTGGAGGGGAAACATCTGAGTGTGTCTTGTTTGAATAAAACACAGCAGTGTTTATGATGATCTCACATCAATGAAAAGGGCACTGCACAAACACAAGTCACTGAAATGATAAAACTGAACTTTAAATGTGTTTGGGTTAAGTTGAGGTAGGAATAACTTTTTGTCACCTTGTAACTAAAGGATTAGCTGTTAGTTCCTATTTCCACTAGTTCCCTCAGTACTTGCTGTCTTACAAACAGTATCTTGTTATTTTTGAATGAGGCCATAGTTGGTGTTGATGGTGTCCTCGTGAGTCAATGTTCTGGTAGAGACTGTGAGTGGTGTATCACTAGAGGATGATGAGGATGGAGCATCATTATTGCAGGGCATCACACTTGCTATTCAGGTGCTGGCGGGTTCTACACAGAGGCAGAGCAACTGCCTTTCACCTCAAAAAATCAGATTTTCTTCCTCCTCTTTAGGTCTTCCTGAGCAATGTTTTAATTTCTGTTATTTCAGGCAAAAGGAATTTATACCAATGGCACAGATTTTCAACAGAATGTGTGTCTGTGGTGTGTGCCTTTAGCATGTGCAAATTTTCGCAAGCTGTGTCCATGACAGCCTTCTAGTTTCACAGTGAGCAGTGCGTCGGCGGTGAGGGCTTGTGGGTGATAAAGGGTATTGATAAAATCATTCTTCTCCCTATGAATATTTCAGAGTGGCTGTGGGCAGAAAACTAGTGCTAACTACTATTCAAGGATCTAGGAGTTTGTCCATAATACTACTGTCACTCCAACGTCTGGATGAGGCCAGGGTTAGCCTGCATCACTGAGTTTGACCAAGCCATGCAAAGGTAGTTCTGAGGCTTTGAACTTGGATGTCCAAACAGCATCTGTCTGTCATTGAATTTGGGATTGAAAGTATAAAATAAGGATATAGGGAAAACACAATATCTACAAACTGTAGACATAATTGGAGCTTATGGTGTCAGAAAGTGTATTAAAATCAAGAGTCTGTAAAAGGTATGCAAGATAATTGATCAGTTAAATTCTTCTGCAGTTATAATCCATTTGGACTGATACAATCCAGCATGAGCCTTATGACTGATTTACAGTACAAAACTCAACAAATCTTGTGTTTTGGTAAGATGAAGATTCGAATTACATCAATGCAATGAGTAAGTGGCTCAAAAGAGTGCAACTGGGTATCTGGACACTGCACTTCTGCTCTTCCTCTTTAAACATATGACATGCATATGATGTACTCGTGGACGAGGCTCAAAACACCAGTTGCTGATAGATACAGCAGTAACCGGTGACTCAAGATACAGACAGCCCAACCTGAGTACAGCCTGGGTCAACTACAGGAAAGCTTATGACTCAAAGGTGCTCACATGGATACAAAGTCAATGGGACACTAAGGACCTTCATCAAGAACTCAGTGGGACTGTGGAGAACAATGCAGGAAGTTTGTCCGTGCAGATTCTCAGTCATCCAGGTCATAGTAAGCTGAAAAAATTTAGGAAAAAATCAACTGGACTTGGTTTTAGGTCAAAGACATTTCACCTCTCATCCAAGAGAGAACTGATGAAGCCTCTTGGATGAGAGGTGAAACGTCTTCTACCTAAAACCAAGTCCAGTTGATTTTTTTCTATGTTTTTTCAGAATGCTGGAAGTTAACTCCAGACCAATTGCACAAGTAAATATCAAATGCAGCATATACCAAGGCGATGCACTATCCCCGCTGCTGCTCTGCATAGGCCTGAACCCCCTCAGTCAGACCATCACAAGGAGTGGGTATGGATACAAGTTCAAGAGTGGAGCGACCATCAGCCACCTCCTCTATTTGGATGACATCAAGCTGTATGCCAAGAAGGAACAGGACATTGACTTACTGATCCATCTGCAGTGGATCTTCAGCAAGGACACTGGGATGTCATTTGGGCTGGAGAAGCGTGGCCGGAAGATAGTAAAAAGAGGGAAGATGGTAAAGACTGATGGGTTAGAACTACCGGGGGCCACATAGCAGACATACAGACCACCTACAAGTACCTTTGTATCCCACAGTCACATGGGAACCACGATGAGGAGGCAAGAAAGACAAAAATGTCCAAGTGCCATCAAAGGATAAGACAGGTCCTGCTGACATAGTGAGCTGGCCAAAGGAGGGCATGAAGGCTGCCGATGTGAAGACCCAGGAACTCCTCACAATGCATGGAGGCTTCCACCCAAAATCCAACACCCAGAGACTGTACATCAGCCGGAAAGAGGATGGATCGGGCCTGGTCTGTCCTGGATGAAACCCAGAGCATGTTACCAGTTGTTTTTCTGTAACTTGTTGGCCAAAGAAGAGGCAACATTTTAGAGGAAATAAAAGCTTGTGAATGGATTCCATTGCATAAATTCAGTATCATTTTCATGATGAAACCCAATCTGCCACCCCACTGGGAAGGATCTTTAAGGGTGGATAAAATAAGAGAAGCACCACATGAAAAGGAACCTTGAAGTAAGTGAATCACAAAAGAAACTATTCATGTGAGTCATATCAAATAAGTTGAATGCCACTTAGCTTTTAAAAAGGCCTGAAAATCATTTTTCAAAGCAACAAAAGCACTAACAGAGTTTCAAAAGGCCAGTCGTTGTTGCTGCATCAACCATAAAAAAATTCCAAAATGATTTACTGTTGCAAGGATAATAGGCATAAAAACTATCACAACATATGGACAACACAGACAAACAGGCTCATCAACCTAGAAGAGTGGTGGTTGCAAGTAAAAGCTCCCTGACACTGTGACAGCAGTTTACACTAAATGTAAAGCAGAGACTGGAAGTTACATGCATGAGTTGCAGCAGGGCTGTTCACTCCATAGGTCTGTGCAGTTCAGCAGTCCTCTTTGACAAAAAAAAAAGACCTCAAACAAAGATGGACTATCTTGTGAAAACACACTTCTTACATTTTAAGCAGAGGTACCAGCATAGAAACATCGCTGTTCTTGTTTTTTTTTTTTTTTCTTTCAGTTTGGGAACTTCATATGGTGCTTTTTATTCAATTCTATCCATAAACGTGCATCAAATCAGGCACATGTCATTTCTCATTCAAATCTCTGCTCTGATTGGGTTAACTCTATAACCAGAGCTTTCTCTGTCCTTGTCTGTCAATTAAATGCATTCTGAATGCATTCTAAGTACCTAATCCTTCAGTAAGAAAGATTATATTCATTTTACATGTAATAACTGGACATCATTTGACATTAGTAATTTTCAAGCAGGGAAAAAAAACAGTAATAACTTTCTTGTTTTAAATTTTATTGTGTATTTTTGTGAAATATGCACCTTATATTTAAAGTCTATTGCCAAAGCTATGGAGGTTTTTGGACTGTATGCACTGTATGACTGCACCACATGTGGGTGACATCTATGCATACACTGTAGTAACCACACTTTAAATTATAGCTAAAATGAGTCAACAACAACTGGATGTTCCACGCTCTTTCTCAAAATCACTATACATACTGTAGATAGCACTTGCCAGTAAACTATTACAGTACATCAAACTTGTTAATCTCAAATGGCTTGTACCCAAGGCTAATGGACATAGACACATACAGTACAGAGCCACAACAAGGTCTAAAATAGTCTCTTACAGGATGATAGATAGTTGCTGTTCATTCAGCTGGATGGATTTTCATCTGGGAAAAGTCAAAAGATACCCACAATATACCTGCAACCCTTTATTCAAGTGCTAATCATGGCTGTGGCTGTGTAATGGTTTGGTTAGCTATCTTGTGACAGTCATCACATTCAATAATTGCTCTGCATTATTATAAATCATCCAAAGAAAATAAGGCTTTCCTTATTTTACAAAACCACCATTCACCCAAACACACTGCTAAACAAATTCTAGTGTGGTCCTAACACATCAGGCATTATTCAGCCTTTATGGACTGAACAAAGGTACGTATACCTGAGAGAACAAGAGGCTTTACCACCATAATGTATCACCCAAACATTTAGGAGGCAAAGGCTGCCCCTTCTTACTTTATAAGATGGGGCTCTTATTGAGTCTGACCTCTAAATATCACTGACCAAGTCTGACCACACTACTTATTATGTAATTTGGAGAATAATATTTAAAAAAGAAAAGTCATTCAGCCATTCATTTACTTTCCCCACTAAATCCTTTTCATGATCACAGGAGGCTGGAAGCTAATCCCAGCACACACCGGGCAGACAACACAGAAACACCGTGGTGATTTATAGTTTCCAATCCACCAGAATTAGACACCTTTGGACTGTGCGGTGTTCTTACACTTTAAGACATGTACCAGCAGTAGTTTGCTGAGATAACAAGGATGATTTATTTTTGGCTGAAAGTTCCATTCTCAGAAAGTATACAATTTTTTTTTTTTTAAAGTGCATCCACACTGAGTTCTTACTTTGTTTGTCTTCAGCTTCTTGGCTCAATATGATTTTGGTGAAAGTATGTTATTTTTCCTTTTTTCTGTTCTTTTTTTATTGAAAGCATTAAATAGCCTCTGCATGTGCCCTTTCCCCTATGAAATAAAGTGATCAAACTTAAGCTTCTGTTTCTATCTAATTCAGTTCTTACCTGCCAATTCAATCACAGTTCCAAGGGATCCAAGTCATCCTCTTGTCCATTTCATGTTACTCTGGTCCTGAAAATGCAAGAGGCAAACTGTAAGAATGCTTTCAAATAGATTTATAGTAATAGAGTTTGTGGCCACTAATGAGTTTGATGGTGTACAGTCGGTGATCTGCTCAACTACCAAAAATGCAGTTTTTATAACCCCCAGGATGGAGTACATCTAATTAAAAATTCTCTTTACTGTTTCTAAATAATCACTGAGTCATCTTGTTATTTTCCCTTTCAACCACTTCCTCAGCAGTCGCTGCTGATGTTTCAGTTTTAGCGCCTTTGAGGACCTTTGTCTAACAAGAGGGGCTTTACATTGTGGTACCTTAAGTCAGAGGAGCTCATTTTGTAGAGACAAGGGGACAGTCAAAGCCACAAAGCCTCACAAACACACCCTCATATGTAGCCTGCACACACAAAGACACATGCACACAATACAGAGGACAAAGCGTGTAGAATAAATTATGGGGGACAAAAGCAAACAGAGATAAAGCTCTCCATTTCGCCTGCCATCCATTAGTGAAGTGCAGGAACTGTGAGTGCAAATAAGTGTGTGTCTGATCCAATGGAACGTTACTGTGTGAGCCTATCATGACCCCAACCTTGGTTTTAAGATAAGGGTTTTGTCATGTCTGTATCATTTATGAAGCATTGCCAGTGAGTATTCTTTCCACCTTACAGTTGCATTACATCCAGATGACCAGTAATCAATGGCGGTAAAAACTGCAAACATATCTTTCCTTAATTAGCATGCATCTGATGACAAACAGAGCAGAACAGTAGAGAACAGAACAGCACAGGATTAAAATTAAAGACAGCTTTCCCTGAGGCAGTCGGTTAGGGTGAAAGGGAAAGTACAAGCCTATTGTCAAGTCATGTGAGAGGGCAAGTCACAAGTCTTCATAAACAAATTCCACTTGCAAGTCTTTTAGGTCTTTGCATGGTAATCACTGACATTCCATTAGCAGTTTCTTGTTTTTGCAATGATGTTCATTTATTTATTTATTTTAAAATTGATACAACACAATGCACAGGCCTAATAATTCCGAATGAACCACCTGCCAGTGTGGTTCTGGTTCACTGTTGTGTGTGTGTGTTTCTTTGGGGACAACAATGGAACCCCATAGCACAGGGGAGTAAACTACTACAAAATATCAGACTGTGGGTACACAGACAACATTTGTTAATAGGATCAATTCATTGTTTGTTTTGGCCTTTTCAATTGATTTGGTGACAAGAATATCACCAGTCTTATCCTTTAAGCCTGTCTTCAATCTAAGTCTCAAGTCTACATTTCTAAATTCTGCTCCAGTGGTTTAATGAATACAGTATACACATAGACAAGATGACTTGGTAATATAGGTGATAAAACCAGGAGCAAACAGCCTAACGTGAAGCACAGTAGGCTGCAGAAGAACTATCGAATGCTGTCTGAAATGTCACTAAAATTGAGATATGCCTACAAATGGATGTGGGTTTTGCCATTATAATCACTATCATTGATGCTGTTATCAACACCATTAATACCCAACATACACACACACACACACACACACACACACACAAATATGCACAAAACACCCCCTGGTTTTCCTCCTTCATTGACAAAATCACATCACTGAGAATGATACTGTTTCTTCTTGAGACTCAAACTTGAAACACAAACATTAAGCTGTTGTTGAAGATTAAATAAACTGAAAGAAAGAAAATACAAATAATTAATGTTTAGCACATACATTGCACTAATTACATTTGCAGAAACATTTTACTGCCACCTGGGCCACCTCAGCAGCATTTATACTACTGTATTATCACATCACATTTTCAGAACCAGTCTGTGTGATAAACTTCTAGTCATATCTTTAGAGGTCTGTAGGGCATCACAAATCTACTTTGCCATTTTGTTCTTCTCTCTTTATCTCTCATGAGCTCACAGAGATAAAATCCTGCTCTGGAAGAGAAGTAGTTCAACAAATCAAGACTAATATTGATGCCTTCTGCTCCAGATCATAGCATATTTTGACCCTACATTACCCACTGGAAATAACCAGAAATGCATGTCAGGCAGAATTAACTAACTGCACAACTGCTCATTCAATTAACATCTTGGGTGGGGGCAGTCAGTGTGGTTTTCAGTGAGGTGAGTACAAGCTCCCAGAAGAGCAGTGAGTGCTGAAATCAGCTCAGCAGTGCCTGCCATTTGTTATCATCTAATGGTAAATCCATCTGCAACTGGTAAAAGGCTCTCGTCAGGTCAAATCACTGACCACCGGACAGATAGGAGCAAGGGAGGGAGGGACAGAGCAGACATGCAGAGTGATACGCTGATAGACAAAGATACAGTAAATAGTACTCATATTAAAACATGCACACTTGTTGATAGAAAGCCTACACCATAACTCTATTCTATCAGATTTTTCAGGTACAAGCAGAGAGATCATATCAAGAAGTTTAAAAAGGTCAGTGGAATGTTTATGGTTTGCTTTGACATGATGCAAATGCACACGTGCTTTCCAAGTCATATTTTTTATTAAAGTCTAAGGAAGATGATGATGTCAAGATAAAAGAAATCAACTCTCTTTAAAGCAGGCATTAATATAGAATACAGTTATCTGGAACAAAGAATGTCATTTTAAAATTCTCTCATTTACATGATCTGTGACTTAATTAAATTAGAATGTGACTAAATCAGTACTTTAATATCATTTGAATTAATACACATCTCAGCTAGTATACCATTTGTCAGTAGACAATTTGAGAGCTTAAAGGCTTTTCTGGCATATTCTGTTTATCTCCGTGTGTGTGTGTGCATGCGCATGTTTGTATGGGAATGTTACTGTCAATAATTGCTTCCACTGACCTGATTTTTTTGAAATGCACACAAATATGCCACCATAATACGCTGCTTAGCCAAAGTGACTCAGAAGCAGCAGACATTGTCGTCATGATTTCCCTTTTTGTAACTGGCAAACTGGTGCAAGATGAGGTCTTTTTATTTTAATAGGGTGGCTTCATGTACTTCTTTTCAGAATGACACAATACGTGGCTATCTATAAATCCAGTGGAATTGAAATGGCTCTAGGGCTGAAGGACAACAGTGAAACATGATACAATACAGACTGCAGAGTGTAGTGCCGTGCCCAGCATATTATCCTTGCCATACACTTGTTGTCAACACATGGCTTTTTTTTTTTTTTTTTTAAGGAATGTCTTTTACAGACCTTGGTTAGAACCGCATTTTAAAATTCTGCTCCAGAGAAACTCACTGCAAACTGGAATTAATGTGTCTGATTAAGTGCTTGACTGAATTAGCATTTGGAATCCAAAGAGATTTCAAGCAGGAGGGGAGGGATGAGATATGTTCGGTGGAGAAGAAGCACGGCTGAAGAGTGGGTTATAGAGGAAAATAGAGTGACAAAGACAAGAAGGAGAGGGGAAAAGCTATAATGAGTGTGATATGAAGAGTAAGGGGGGGCGCACAGAGCATTCCTCTGGCTCCTGGTTTCACTCAGGTCAGCCATGTCTCTTTGATTAATTATTTTTGACAAGGAAATGTTCCCTGTACTCATTTGCCTGTGAGATGAATTCATAGCCCCTCCCCCATCTTAGGTTTTCATCAGCATACACACCAGCTGTCAGTTGTCACTGATGTGAGGAGTAATTGGTTTGGCCCCATCAAAAATATTAGTCTTCAAAGACTCTGATCTGTTTTCATGAACACTGTCATTAGGGATGAGAGAATTACATGAATATGCTTATATTGGGAGAAGAAGACATTAAGGATGACACAAAGAGGGAAATAAAGATACAGTATAACACCCAAAAAGGCAGAAAGAACAGACAGGCAAAAGGTAGTCTGAGGAGAAGCAGGGAAGATGAAAGACACAGACTGCACCTCTGGTTAGCCCCAGAGGTGGGGGTAAATTACCCACATAAAATCTCTCCCACGAAATGTCTGACTCTTATATGAAGGGCTGGTAAAAGTCTCTGAAGAAAAATGCATGAGAACAGGTGCCATGCTACCACAGGGTGATGAAGTACAGAAGGCATAACAAACTAAGCCAGTAAGAATATGTCATGCAAATCAATGTGAATGCAATCTGGACTTGAAGAATAGGAAGCAAAATGTGAGTGATCTGAGATTAAAATTGACTCTGCTTACAGTTTTTGAGAAAAATGTGACTTAATCACTCTTAAAAAAATGAAGAATAAAAGAATAAAAGCAATGGCATGAGGTAAGAGGAGAGGGCAAGAATAAAATCTAAGGTAAGGCTGACAAATGAAAACCTTACAGTGGGAGCGAAGCAGAATACAAATGAAGAACAAAAGGCAACGTGGTGTATAGGATATTTTAGGCAAAAAAGTGAGACACACATGGAGTGGAATAAAGAAGGCTAGTGAGGAGGGCAGTTTTTTTTTATTTATTTTTTTTTATAATTCATTTCCTAATGTGACGGACATCATGCTGAGTCACTGAGTTTGTCTGTCCCCAGGAAGAGATGAGAGGAGCAGCTCAAGTGGCCAACATGCAGCACCATCAAAGGAACATGGCAAACTGACAAATTAGAGATATTCTCTAATTTCCGCCTTCTGTTCTTCTGTCAGATGTTACTCATTTGGACTTTTTCTAGTACTTAAATAGCACACTTCAATTGATGTTCCATTTGATGCAAGAAGTGACTGCTCGGTGCAGTCACACCGAGCAGTTTTATGATGAAATTACTATATCTAACTATGCTACAAAACCAACACTGAAAACCTGAAAGCCTTGTTTGTAGACTATAAGAGCATACAGACTTAACAGTTTAATAGTATGTTGTGCCAGCACAAGCATTGTCAGCACCGCCCATTAGATTTTTTGCTTTTCTGTTGACAATGTCTACAATTGGTAATGTTCATTGATCAACAGTGCTGGGGAGCAGTGAATTACATGTAATTAACTACATTGCAGTAGCTTGCTGGCAGTTCAACTACATTCATTTTTTGCATAGTGGTTCAAGCACTTAAGGTGTGTGTGTGTGT